CAGTCATAAGGGTACCAAGTAAAGTCCTGGAAAGTACTGGTGGGTGACATGATGTTGGCCACATCAGTCATCAAGGGCCCAATGGCCTGTTAAAAATATGAGTCCAGTCTCCTGTGTCCGAAATGCCACTTTCTATTATAGGGATCTTTACTTTATATTTTTTGGGGGGCCGCGTTAGCTCAGTCGATAAGAGGCTCACTTTCAAATCCAGCTGTGACTCGCTGCATCCCACGGTCGGTGTTCTAAACCAGGCGGCTCCCGGGGTTCACCCAGCCTCTAGGAAATGGGTACCAGAGTTGACACTCTGGGGTAAATGGAGTAACGTCGCTGTAGCTACAGAGTTACGTGCGAACGGCGACATAGGCGGACAATTCTTATCAGCTGTCCATACTGGTGGCAGAGCACTTATGGTTTATAATCGTGTGCAATGCCGCTGGTTCGCATTTCCCGGCTTTACCTTACCCTTTTTTTTTACTTTATGTTTGCCATATCAAACACATCCCAAGTGTGTTTTTCTTAAAAATTATTGACCAAATATTGTGTTGTTTGATGTGGTTGCAGGCCCTGAAGGAGGAGCTGACTTGGTCTGCTCACCTGGGTCTGCCTGCTGTGATGATACCTCTCCGTGATGGCAACTTCATCAACCTGGCCCAGTGTCTCAGTGAACAGATCACCTCCAGCTACTACCAGCAGGTAAGAACATCATATTTTAACAGTTTTTCACAAACTAGAATCTGTTACATGAGCTTGTGATCATGAACAATAAGAAGAAATTTTCAGAACGCTTGTTCAGATCAGGAGGATCGACTTTATTGCACTGGGTTTTATCCCGTTTGTTTGGTTTCTCTCTGCAGGATGGCTAGCCTTTTGCCTAGAGTGCCTCACAAAGCTCAAACCCCTTAGCTGCACCAGGGATCCCCCAAATCTATGTAAAAATTGCTCTCATGAACCAAATAATGCACTCTGACAAACCTAAAACTTTCAGATCATGAGGCAGACAACTTTATCACTTTGCATGCCCCAAAGACGCTCTAGCAATGGATTATGTTAGTTTATAACTTTATTTCTGTGTCTTCACAAACATTAAATGGAAGCAAATATTTATAGATTGAGTATAAGAAGAGTCGGCGACTGTAACTTAGGCGTTGCAAACACGCTTCTTAATACCAGGATGCCGGGTTTGATCTCATCTGCAGGCAGTTTGTCTTGCCTTGGTTTCGACTGTGGTACCGAGAGCTGACCACTCAGAAAGCAGTGGTGAACTACTCAACGTCAAATTTTCCTGGAAAAACCACAAAGCCAAAAATGCTCGGGTTGGTTCTACAACGTCCTGTAAAGGATATTCAGCTAACTTTAAGAAGAAACATTTTGGTATAGATTGTGATGAGCAGGGTTTTTAAAAACTAAACTCTTGATTTTTTTCTGTCTTTAGGAGTTTCTGTTAACAAATTTTTTTAATTTTTACTGTATTAGTATAGCTTGTATGAGCTTATCACACCATGATCTTGCTCCATGACAGCTGTGTGAATCTCTTCACCTGTGTTTAATATGTGGATCTGTTCACCTGTGTTTAATATGTGGATCTCTGCACTTCTGATGATTAAGTGAACATCGTCACCTAGGATTTAAAACTCTGCATCCAAAATTAACAGATGTAAGCATGATCTAGTGTAATAGAGATATGTGGCAAAAACTAAGATTGAAGATAACTGGTCAGCCAATTAAGCTTTGGTCATATAAAAATACTCCAAGAAGACACATCTCGTCAAATTTGAAAAGGAGCATAATATGTCTGCGGGTTTTGTGTGTGTATGATGAGGAATCGACACATACAGATAACTCAGTGGTCGTGGCAGTGTAAAGAGACAGCTCCTAGTGAAAGGATTTGCTAGAGGAAGACATGCAGAAGGAAGTCATGGTTACCTTTGAGTGGACACAATCAGGAGATAGGGTGGTGAAATTCTTTATGTCTGCATTGTAAAAAAAAAAAATTTGCAGGACAGGGCTGGAGACTTGTTGCAGTATGCTTTTAATGTCTTCTTCTTCTTCTTCTTCTGCTTTTTCTCTTTCCCCTTGTACCTTCATTGTGATGGTACAAAAGTAAAGATTAACAAATGATTGACGATATTACATAATTTTTAATTTATTCCTCCGTTGTGACATTCTTACATGTGTACATTTGTTGATAGCTGGACAGTCTTCTGCATTGTCCTTAAAAGGGTGAATGGCACATTGTGTTGTCGTTTACAGCTGACCGCCAAAGGTGGAGAGAGAGCTTATCAGACAGTCAACAGAAACTGTTGACCCAATGACACTTAGTGTTACGGAATGATTATGATGAGGCTGTTATATTTGTGCCTTTCCGCCCAACACATCTGATTTGAGTGAACCCTAATTAGGGGCCTCTTACAACATGCTTGTTAGGAAGCACTGGGTCTCACCCCCCCACCCCCCACCAATTGTTGCACTGACACCCACAACCCCCCCCACTCCTGCCTCAATTGTTGCCCTGAAACCCACACAAGGAGTAGATAATCAGAGTTTCATGTAAAAACTGGACTGGAGCAAGATCATCAGGATAAGCAAAAGAGAGATGAAAGCAGATGATGTTGGCATAAAATAAAATGGCAGATTATTTCCTTTAAACAGCAATACTGGATCCAGGTGCCTCTTGTCAGTCACGCAGATCAGTGTGATGATGTCATTGAAGGTGTTGATGTTCAGACAGAGGATGATAAGGTTGAAGATACCTGGACCTGGTAGGTTATTTTTCTTCTTCACATTCTTTTAAATGTTATGCTGTCACAGTCCAGTCAGTGTCGCTGCACATTGGACATCTTCCATGCATGCTGGTTCACTTGAGAAGCTGGTTAAAGTGTCTACTATTCTTTTAAATATTAATGCCTGTCTTGACTTTTCTTGGGGCACAGAGGAATGGTTGTGTCTGAGTATTAAGGGCCTCATGATTAGTGCAGTCTCCGTGAACTGTTAGGATTTTAATTTATTTTTATTAACCCTTAGCAGTTTCCATTGTCTTACCAAGGACTAAATTGGCTGGATCCGCACCACTGGGTGGTGAACTGATACATGACACGGCAGATGTGGTCAAGGCCCTTTGGGAACAAGCAACGGAATTAGTAGAGAAAGAAGAATATTATGGTCTGGAGAGAATGAGGCACCTGTGTGTAACCAGAGGGTGTGGCCAGGTTCACTACACTCAGAGGAAAGGCAAGACGTACTTTTAACCAGATTGTGACAGTATTTTAACTCTGCGCTGGCTGCTGAAGATTAGGGCGGAGCATGCATGGGAATGCTTCGAGTGCTGTGATGTCAATTCTGGACTCAACTCAACTTACCAAGGACTTCTCTGCATACCGTCATCTGTCTCTCTTGATCGCATCAACACTGCAAGACTCCTTTTCAGGGCTACGTGGTTGCAAGCAGTGCTAAGCCGTTTTATATAGCGCACATAAGCCCAGTCACAGTTATAACCAAAAGCTCTTCCACCCCCTCCCTCGCCCGCTGTCGAGGGATGCTGGTTGAACATTATGATTTTTTTCGCAAAGAAATTTGAGTCAAGTTCTCTGCACACTGTGCTGCTCTGAGAAGAATAGCTTCTTTAATTTGCAGTTGAATCCAGTCTTCAGAAGTGTTATATCAGTTGGATCTACTTATCCTATCCATAGCCCTTAGCTGGGTTGAAGTAGAGGTCAGACCTGGCTATTGATATCTCCTACAAGGCTGCCTGGTGGAAGGCTGTCTTAGCTAGGTTGAAGTAGAGGTCAGACCTGGTTATTGATATCTCCTACAAGGCTGCCTGGTGGAAGGCTGTGTCTTAGCTAGGTTGAAGTAGAGGTCAGACCTGGTTATTGATATCTCCTACAAGGCTGCCTGGTGGAAGGCTGTGTCTTAGCTAGGTTGAAGTAGAGGTCAGACCTGGTTATTGATATCTCCTACAAGGCTGCCTGGTGGAAGGATGTGTCTTAGCTAGGTTGAAGTAGAGGTCAGACCTGGTTATTGATATCTCCTACAAGGCTGCCTGGTGGAAGGCTGTGTCTTAGCTAGGTTGAAGTAGAGGTCAGACCTGGTTATTGATATCTCCTACAAGGCTGCCAGGTGGAAGGATGTGTCTTAGCTAGGTTGAAGTAGAGGTCAGACCTGGTTATTGATATCTCCTACAAGGCTGCCTGGTGGAAGGCTGTCTTAGCTAGGTTGAAGTAGAGGTCAGACCTGGTTATTGATATCTCCTACAAGGCTGCCAGGTGGAAGGATGTGTCTAGTGGCTTGCAAGATGGTACCCAGTGAGGAAAAACTTCCTGTCACATACACACGCTCACACATCTTTAAAGAAAATTAAAAACATATTGTTTTGTTGAATACTTATTCACACTCCGGTGATAACAACTGGGGTGGCCGTCACACCCACTCCTCCGCTACTGCCTGTATCCAGGCACACTGTTACTTGGATAAGATTTTAGTTTTGTGTGTCTGTTATTGTGTGCACTTTCTGCTTCTTTCCTGTATCTTCTCTAAGTTCCAGTCAGCACTTGTGAGTTCCTCTAAATCTCTGCTACCACGACTTCTCACAGGATGTTGGCCACATTGTTCATAAAGTGCCAGATAGTTACTCTTATGAAATTTGAGTCTGACACCTTAAACTAATTGCACCAGTAGGGGGAATAGGGTACACAATTTTTTTTAAATAATGAATCATGAGAATATAAAAATAAAGTAGAACTGGTCACCTTTACATTGTTACAGTCACAAACAAGCTGTGAACTGTGCAACACATTATTAAATAAATATGTAACTACATTACAGTTACAAACGAGAATACACACACACAAATTATCTGTATGTAAGAAATATCCATTATATGTATGCATTGTAACAACTTTTTCAACCATGACCTGTAAGGGCTTATTAAGAAAGATGGAGAATTGAATTTTACCGTTTTTGTATTTTGAAGAAAGTAATTTTGACTGTCTCAATGCTTGCAGGTGGAACAAGTTTCGATCCCTGTGTGACTACAGCAAACGGCTGGGGGTTGTCCTGGAACTGACGGCCAATCTGCCGCCTCCACAGATGATTGACAGGTGGCTTGGTGAACCAGTGAAAGCCCTCGTGGTGTCCACATCGCTATTTTTAACCAACAAGAAAGGCTACCCTGTTTTGTCCAAAATGCACCAGAATATTATTAGAAAGTTTTTCAGGGTAATTGTTGGATTTTTTTCTCATAATATAGTTGCAATTATACCTGTTACTGATTCTTTATGGGAAAGTCAGAAGGGATACCTTGGGTGGCTGCTGTGTCCGAGGACTGAGCATGCATGGGAATTCCCAGTGTGCAGTGACACCAGTTGTAATGATGTTACTTTTTCTGTCTTGTTTTCTGCTTCCAGCATCATGTTTTGAAGAGGCAAGTTTAAGCCTTGGTATGTGCTACGTTGATGCTGATGTTTACTACGTCAAATATTCCATCTATCCATCGCTTACGTGGTCAACCTCTAGCTCTACTTCCATTAAGTTTCATATTGCTCTCATCATAGCCTGTCGAAAAGCTGTGTGTTCCTTGCCAGTTACTCTGCGTTATGTATTTTTATGCCTAAAGTGTATTGGCTTTTATACTAAGAGAAATCCTTGGGTGAGCCCAGTACCAAAGCACCATGTATTAGCTATGCATTTGTGGAAGCCTCCTTGGATGGCGGGGAATGCTCATGTTCTGCTCCTGCCTTCTCTTGAGGGCTGATCAGCATTATATGACCTCTCTGGATGAGCCTGATTGGGGCACCACCTGTGACCTGGGAAATAAAGATGACCACACAGCAGTGAGACTGCCATGTCCCCAGAAACTAACCAGGAAGGCTAATCCGGTCAACAAATGCCCGCAGAAGTCGGATGTATTGGCCGAATGGTGCAGATATCGCAGCCATGCTGTAAACATCTTCAGACGAACGCAGAAGAAGAAAAAGTTACTAAGAGATATAATTGACAAGTATTTCATAATTTCAAAATTCTTTGCTGTCTTGTAACATTCTGACAAATGTACCTTTTCTTGATAGCTGGAAGCCCAAGTGATAATTACAGGACAAGATCGTCACCCAGACAAAACCATCAGGTCATACCAACAGTATATAGATCACCTGTGGCAGACACAGGACCCTGCAGATGTTGTCAGCCAGTTTGCTAAAGGATATGAAGATTTCCTTCAATCGCCTCTGCAGGTAAGAAAATGTTTCGCTTTATTTGTAAAGCCGTGTAAAAGGATAACCTCTGCAGAATTACAGAAGAAGATGTTGAGGGCTGCCTCAAATATGAAATATTCATGTGTGAGTTATAGGTTGAATTATCTTCACAGCACTCCGGACACATCCATAAGCACTCAGATTTCTCCTTCAACATATTCATCAGCGTCACACTGTTAACAGTACCAGTCCTATGCTGGCTGACAAGACTTCCTGTGCGTCCAGTGTGCTTCTCATGCTTCGCTTTGCCGATCTTTACTCCCAGTTCGAGTATTCTTATCAGTGATGCAGACACGTTGCTTCCAAAATCCTTAGAACGTCCTATCTCTCTCAGGGACAATGACAATGTCTGCGTGATCCATAAGCTGGGCATCTGTAGTTATGCAGAACCTGCCAGTGTGCAAACAGGAACGTGAATGAAGCGGGTTTTGAGGTGGATTTATGGAAACAGGATGCCTTGGAGGGGCAAATCAGGAAGAGGATGTCAATGAAGGAGAAAATTTACTGCAGATGGTTTAAAAGCTGAGCGTCTTGCTTGCTTACCTCAACACGAAGTTGGGCACAAGATATGACTCCTTGAGTATGAAAGTATATGAGGCGGGTGAGCTGGCGAGTGACCTAGTTTCTTTCAGGCAGACCGTAATGAGAGCGATGTTCTGCAAAGGACCTGCTACATGATGATGATGATGACTCAGAAATTCCCTAGAAAAAAATTAACCATTTTACACAGGTCAGATGAATGTTTTTAAAAATGTATTTACATTTTATGTAACAGATTTTTAAAATATGTGAAGATGAGTAATCGATACAAACAAACAGCTGAGAGTTCAATAGAATACCTTCCACTGAGCCTTTTTAAATTTTTACGGGAGCTCATACCCTGACCTTTGTGGTAAATGATGACTTTAAAAAAAAAGTAATTTTTCCGATATTATGTCTGCTACCGCCACCCCTAGTTGCTATTTTCAGTAAATATGTTCAGTTCTCCATAAGACACAATCACTACCATTAACTAGTCTTGTTGGGGACTAGCCAGTTTATAGACCTGATATAGATTTCTGATGGGCGGCAAAGCAGATTAATGGGCCTCTCAGGTCAAACGGGTTTAAATATATGCCCAGATTTCTTTAATGTGTTCATATGAAATGTAAAATATATAACAGTATGGTTTAGGAAGCTCTGGTGGCACAGTGGCTAGGCTCTTGCCTGTCTATCCGAAGGCTTTTGGTTCAGATCCCCTCTTTTTATAATTCACCTGATCTCCTAGATCAACCCAGCCTAAAATGCGTACTGTGGAATGTCAGGGGAAAGTAAAGGTGGACTGTGTCATGTTTACTACATCGCTTATTGAGTGCCCGATTGGTCTGTAAAATTGGGTCTTGCATCCAGTGGCGTAACAATGTCAAGTGGTACACCCCTGCCCACATTCTTTCTTTTCAATTTTAACAACACATATTTTCGCCTTTGTATCATTCCCCCTCAGTGATGATGACCCTGGCTTTCCTACGCCACTTCTAGCATCATATGCATGGTAGACCAGTGGTTTGAAAAAAGTCAGTTACGTAACTTTTGTATGTTGTTTTCGGTACACAGAGACAGTATTCTTGGTACACAGAGACAGTATTCTTGGTACACAGAGACAGTATTCTTGGTACACAGACAGTATTCTTGGTACACAGAGACAGTATTGTTGGTACACAGAGACAGTATTCTTGGTATACAGAGACAGTATTCTTGGTACACAGAGACAGTATTGTTGGTACACAGAGACAGTATTCTTGGTACACAGAGACAGTATTCTTGGTACACAGAGACAGTATCCTTGGTACACAGAGACAGTATTCTTGGTACACAGAGACAGTATTGTTGGTACACAGAGACAGTATTGTTGGTACACAGAGACAGTATCCTTGGTACACAGAGACAGTATTGTTGGTACACAGAGACAGTATTGTTGGTACACAGAGACAGTATTGTTGGTACACAGAGACAGTATTGTTGGTACACAGAGACAGTATTGTTGGTACACAGAGACAGTATTGTTGGTACACAGAGACAGTATTGTTGGTACACAGAGACAGTATTGTTGGTACACAGAGACAGTATCCTTGGTACACAGAGACAGTATCCTTGGTACACAGAGACAGTATTCTTGGTACACAGAGACAATATTGTTGGTACACAGAGACAGTATTCTTGGTACACAGAGACAGTATTGTTGGTACACAGAGACAGTATTCTTGGTACACAGAGACAGTATTCTTGGTACACAGAGACAGTATTGTTGGTACACAGAGACAGTATTTTTGGTACACAGAGACAGTATTCAACTGTACATGATGTGTCTCTTGGGGCAGAAGGAGTTACATCTTTATACTTTTAAAAATCCTGTTGTGTTTAGATTTGAACCCATGACCTTCAAATCCTAGGTGAACTTTCAATTAGCTTATGGATTCCTGGGTCCTGGGTTCAAATCCAAACAAGACTTTTTTATTATTATTATTCAAATAACCTTGGCTCATAGATAGACCCAACCAGTACCAGGTAAAGTTCTGGAAAGTAAAGGCATCCTGCATGATGGTGACCACATCATCCACCAGGTGCCAATTGAAAATTTAGCTCTAGCGCTGTTTCCCAGTACGCCTGAAGGTGTGGGAAAAGGGCCCTTTGCTTTGACTCTACTTATTGAAGTGATGTGTGTCTCTCTCTCTCTTGCAGCCCTTGATGGACAACTTAGAATCTCAGACTTATGAAGTGTTTGAGAAGGACCCGGTGAAATATTCCCAGTATCAGAAAGTAAGTGGCATCTTCATGGTTTTGTCTATCATCATCATCATCATCATGATGTGCCTTGCTAGATATTATAGCCGTTTATATATCAGTGGATGGTGTTCTGAATTAATTCTGTTGATGATGTTACTTCACCTCTGAGATCCTTTCAGTATAATCTTTCTCTCTGTGGCTACTCTCTTCTACTATTTTAGTTCATTCCAGTTGTCACAGTGTTCTCTATTACCCTTCTTCTTATCACATGTCTTATACCATTTCTAAGTGCATGCTGTAGGAAAATAATTGTTTCCAAATACTTCTTTTTGTTCTTTGGTTATCCTTAATGGGGTAGCTGGCACATTGTGTTGGGGTTTACAGCTAGACTGTGATGTCTGTGCCTTTAACCCCACACAACAAGTTGCATGTGATAACTTAGAAATGAACAGGGCTAAGTTATCATACGCTTATTCGTCAAGTGGAAGACAGAGAAAGATGGTTTATGTGCTATTGCTTCTATCAATACACCTCCATGATCCTAGCGGGTCAAGGGTTATGTTATGTTTATGTAACTAGTTGCCTTTTATGGCATGCTTGTTAAGGAGCAGTAGGCCTGTTCCTTTTTCCTCCCGCAGATGGAGCTGCAGAACCCACACTAGGAGCTGCTCCATACACTTGGTAGTTTGATTTATTATTGATCTGTATGTTAACACATGTTTTGGTGGTTAAGGTAGTAGAAAGTCATTGTATATAAACTCTGTCCAATGTACTTAATATATGTGCGTGTGTTTTACATATGCTTGGTTATTGTACATTTCTTGGATATGAACTCTGGCCTGTTCTATAGCTGTTGGTTCAAATGAATAATAGATTTGGCTAACTGAGGCACCTTTTTGTGTGTGACCTATCGGCCATGCAACAAAGTACACTTGTTCCCACAATAAGGTGATGTCATAAATTGGAGACAGCAGGCTCAAACTACATTATAGTAACTATCTTATGTTGTCTGGTGTAACTTCTTGTATCGTTTTGTTGTCTTCTTCCTTGAAGGCTGCTCAGCACACATGAATGTTTTGTTTTTTTAAATGCTTCACCTCTAACAGGATGCAGTGGTTGGGGTATTATTATATAGAGGAAATAGATAATTGATTGACGGAAACTGCACACAAAGATGCTGACGGGGAGTAGACCTTGAGGCAGACAAAGAAGATTGCAGAGAGATAATCTTCAAACTGACCTACAAACATTTGGATTCACCAGCCTACAAACACTTGGATTCACCAGCCTACAAACACTTGGATTCACCAGCCTACAAACACTTGGATTCATCAGCCTACAAACACTTGGATTCACCAGCCTACAAGCATTTGGATTCGCCAGTCTACAAACACTTGGATCCACCAGTCTACACACACTTGGATTCACCAGCCTACAAACATTTGGATTCACCAGCCTACAAACATTTGGATTCACCAGCCTACAAACACTTGGATCCACCAGCATACAAACACTTGGATCCACCAGTCTACAAACACTTGGATTCACCAGCCTACAAATGTTTGGAGTCACCAGGTGAAAAGAGGAAGTCAAATCTCAGAGATGAAAGGAGAGGGGTGATATCTGCAGCAGTGAACCTCTCAATGTTTGCAATGCTGAATAAGAAGAGGAAAAAAAAGATACCTAAACTCTAGATAGTTAAGTAAATTGAGTATTCTGACAGTCACAACTATTGTTTACTTTCTTGCTTCTCTGATAGGCTGTCTACCAAGCCTTGCTGGACAAGATTCCACTGGAGGACAGAGACACCAAAGATGTGTATGTATGATTAGATATTGTTAAGACTTTATTGCTTTAGGATTATAAGGTCAAGACTTGCAGTACATCTGTTCAAAGGAGCTGGTATTTTAAAATAACTATCTTGATTAATAAGTGTTATAAAGTAATGAGTCTTTGTTTGAATAAGTTGAATTGGTAACTAAGATAAAAACAGTTAAATGAGGGCCAAAACATTTGTTGCAGAAAAGCCATAAGTGATTTCTCTGGAAAAAGGGGGGGGGGAGGGGGGGGGGGAATGGGATTTATGTCTTATTCTGTGAAGGCTGCTCAGCACACATGAATGTTTTTTTTTTAAATGCTTCACCTCTAACAGGATGCAGTGGTTGGGGTATTATTATATAGAGGAAATAGATAATTGATTGACGGAAACTGCACACAAAGATGCTGACGGGGAGTAGACCTTGAAGCAGACAAAGAAGATTGCAGAGAGATAATCTTCAAACTGACCTACAAACATTTGGATTCACCAGCCTACAAGCACTTGGATTCACCAGCCTACAAACACTTGGATTCACCAGCCTACAAACACTTGGATCCACCAGCCTACAAACACTTGGATTCACCAGCCTACAAGCACTTGGATTCACCAGCCTACAAACACTTGGATTCACCAGCCTACAAACACTTGGATTCACCAGCCTACAAACACTTGGATTCACCAGCCTACAAACACTTGGATTCACTAGCCTACAAACACTTGGATTCACCAGCCTACAAACACTTGGATTGGGGGGGGGGGAATGGGATTTATGTAGCCTCCAGTATTCACCCCCCTTCCTGCACCACCACCACCACCACCACCACCACCACTCTGTGGGTCCATGGGACAAATGCTACAAACCAAGTTACACAAAAATGTCATTGGGCTGTCAAGAAAAGACAGCTCCGCACCATTGAGATGTGTAACAAGAGAGATCAATGACTTAGCTAAAACCTGCAAAAAGATCAACAAATCCATCACACAAGCCACTTGAGAAGCACAAGACAAATGCAAAAAAAACATGACACTGGGCTATAAGTTGGTATCAGTGAGATGATAAAAGAAGAGCAGGAGAGATTGACACCCTGGGCGTAATTCAGGAGTTTTTCTCCTGTTGTCAGGTGTATTAGGCATGCAGCGCTTGCCCCATCTTTTTATAGAGCAATCTACATTCTGTAGATTCTGTGGTTAGCATTCTGCAGTGCAGATGCTTGAGGTAATTCGTAAACATCAACCGGGATGGACTCAAGAATCCCCTAGTGGGTTCTAGGGCTTCGTTTTGGAGAACAAAGAATGCAACCACTGCCTCTAATAACAAGCATGTCATAGTAGGCAGCTAAGAGTGCATCTGTCTGAGAAGCAAGGAGCCAGCAGTCTGCATACACGTAAGCCAGACTGTTAAAACGGATGTGCCTGCAGAACTCAAGTTCTGGATCAAGAACAAAATCCAGGGATGGGTGAACAACCAGAACTTTCTGCCAGAATTTACAGCCGGTGAATGCCAGTAAGAAGAATTCAAGAAAGGCGGCAGATTTCAAGAGAAATGTCTAGACAGCCTCTGGTATCAACACTTATAAGACAAAGATGATGACGAGGTTAGGTTTAAGTTAGTCTCCTCAAACAAAGTAGGTCACGTTTCATTCATAAATTTGTTGAGCTGGTCGACTTTCCTGCAGGTTACGGGTGTGTCCCGCTCTGTTGTTTGCTTTCTGTGTTGTCTTGCATTTACGTTTTTAATCAGAGAAAGAAAATGCCTGTGACAAGGTTGCAGCACTCTCTAGGGGAGTTGTGTTAAACCCAGTTTTTCCACGTTTTTGTAGTGTTAAAAGCGCTGGAGTGCTGAAATATACAACACGCGATATCAACAGCATTGCGGAACACTCCCGTAACCTTGTGCCAAGGTCACATCGCTCAGGATCTACCAATCAAAAGTGAGCTAGTGTGTATGTGGCCGGGATCTGGGGAGCGAAACATACTTTCATTGATGACGATATATAGGGTACATCCTGAGAAGAAGCAGAGGATCACCTAGCAGGCACTGAAATGGGAAATAATGGATTGAGGAGGAAAAGGTTGTCCAAGGGAAATTCAAAGACAAACTTTGATGAGAGAGGTCAGTGGTGCTGGACGGGATCCCACCTGTCGTTATTCTTATCAATCAGCATGTCCTTTATAAATGTTGAATGTTGGAATTAAGAATCAACATCACAGCACTCAGGACACTCCCATAAGTGCTCAGTGCCCATCTTCAGTAGCAAGCGAGTTCTAATTCCGATGGTGCCAGTAACCGCCTGATTGTATCTCCATCTCATCCTTTCCCTGAGTGTTGAGCGTCTCGGCCAGATCCCCTGGTAAATCCTCGCAGCGCCATTCTCCTAAGACGGTAATGATCCATCTACGCTTCCGCACTGTTCACCCATTCCCAAAGGCTCTCACAATATCTAACTTCAGTTCACCACCAATTGGTGCAGAGCCAGTCAGTCTATCTTCCTGCTCATTTCCCAACACTCTGGGTGACCTGGAGAAAATATCCATGTCCTTTACAGAATGCCGCTCTCGACACGGCACTCCTGAAAGCCTCTTTCTCTAGCCAGTTCTTTAGCCTAATGTGCCGTGATAGCCAATGCATCTTAAATGTGTTGTATCCATTTTCAAGGAAGTCAGCCTCCAAGAAATTTACTACAAGCCCATTGAGATGTAGAACAGCATGATAATCATGCAGTAACCTCTAATTTGTAGCACATTTCCTTGTATCATTTGATTTGATTTGATTCAAGAACCGACTTCACAGCACTCGGGGCATTCCCATAAGCGCTCCGTCCCCATCTTCAGCAGCCAGCGCAGAGTTCTGATATTAATGGTGCCAGTAGCATTCTTATTAAACATCCGTCTTGCCTTTCCTCTGAGCCTTGAGCATCTGCCAGAACCTCTCGTCACTTCCCCCTGTTTCAATCTCACCAGACTGTGGTTATCCATCTGCTTGTATCAGTTTTAAGCTGCGTCCACATGGGAGCCCAGGCCAGCTGTAAAGCAATCCTTGTTTTAAGGATACGGCAGGGGTTCGAACACAATAGCCACCAGGCTGGCAGACAAGTATGCTTGTTATTGGACTTCTTCATATAGTCCATGCATGGTGGAGTTGGTAGTCATGTCTGTTGACAGCCTTCTGTCTCATCTACTTTTAGTCAATTCTGACACAGGTGTCCTTCTGTGCCATGGTGTCTGACTGTCCAGAATCTTCTCTTGTTGTCTTGGTCTGCCTCTTTTCCCCTCTAGTTATCCCAGGGTCACCATACACTCCATTTTGTTCTCCTTCTTGTGACATGACCAAAGTATGTAGATTGTCTCCTTCTGATTCTCTTTTTGAGTCAGTTTCTTTGAAAGCATCTTCGTTAGTCTTTTTATCTGTCCAGGGTGTTCTCATCATCCATCTATGATACTAATCTGGCACCTGTCTGTGATTCACTTCTGTCTATCAGGATAGGATTCATATTGCTCTGAAGAATTCTCTTTTTCATCTCAATTGACAAAGAAGAAATGATTGAATGTTGATCTCACCTGTACCATGTGGGAATATACATGGCTATTTTGGACTTTTCTTTCAGTGAAATGTTTTGAGACCCAGCCAGCAAGGTCTATGTGTTTAGTCTCACTGTTTTATTGCAGGGTAGTGATGGTTGTTGGGGCAGGCAGAGGTCCCCTGGTTCGAGCATCTCTTGCCGCAGCCCAGGAAGCCGGCTGCAAGATAAGGAAATTATATGCCGTTGAGAAAAACCCGAATGCTGTAATAACGTATGTAGACTTCATCAGTGCTTAATTAGTTTAAATTATGTGATTTGCTGGCATCTTTCCAGATGATAATGTTCCATTATGCTTTTGCAAGATGTGGGAATCACAGCCTATGGCGAGTGTGACTAGCAAAACCAGCACACATTAACCATGTATGTCACCAGAAGCCACAGAACTGACATTTCAATTTGGGTCCAATACCCCTTAAATGTCACTTTTCTGACTTGTCTGTAATGATCTGTTTAGGGATAAGGCATAGATATTGCTGCCTAGCTATAGTACCCCCACACAACATGCCAGCCGCAAACGCAGAAAGAGAAGAAAAATATTGGCTGTTCTAATTCTAAATTTTTAGTGGCCGTTTCCATATATTGTATCTTATGTTACTGTTTTAATTACTGGCTGTTTTCCACATTTTATATTTACTGTTTTAGTTATAAATTGTTACAAGCTGTTTTCCTCATATGATATTTTCCTCATATGATGTTTTAATTATAAATTGTTACTGGTTGTTTTCTAGATATGATATTTTAGTTTACTGTTTTAATTACTGACTGTTTTTCACATTTTATATTTACTGTTGTAATTATAAATTGTTACTGGCAGTTTTCTACATATGCTGTTTGATATTTACTGATCATATTGCATTTACTGTTTGAATTATCCTCAGTTTGGAGAATCTGAAAGAGGAAGAGTGGGGTGACAAAGTTGAGGTTGTATCTTGTGACATGAGAGAGTGGGAAGCCCCTGAGAAGACAGACATTCTTGTCAGCGAGCTTCTGGGATCATTCGGTGACAATGAACTCTCCCCTGAATGTCTAGATGGTGCCCAGCGATATCTCAAGGGTGAGGTTTTTTGTTTGTTAACTCTTTCGGTCCTAATCAACATATGATGTGTTCTTTGCTTTTTATTTTAATCCTATTCATCACATAGTCTTCTTCTTTGCCTTCTTTGCGTTCACCGGCTTTAAACTCTGGCAGAAAGTTCTGATTGTTTGTCCACCTTTGGACTTTAGTCTTCTTCTAGAACTTGAGTCTTGCATGCACATCTGTTTTACAGATCTGACCTAATTATTGTAGGCAGACTGTTTGTTCCTTGCCTGGAGGTGTGTCTGCACACGAACTGATCTGATACATGCTGCAGGAGATCGCAGATTGTGGAGAGGCATGATCAGCCACGACAGTCGGCAAGGCACCTAATTATGATGATTGATTAGTATTTGAAATTTGTAAGTTCTTACGCATGGTTATTAAAAACTATAGGGTCCATGGAAGACCTCTGAAACTAGGCAGGATCATCAAGTCTTAACAAATTGAGAGCCACTGAACTAACCCAGTTATCTCCTTCACATGTGTTGGGAAATGAACAGGTGGACAGATTGGCTGGCTCTGCACAATTTGGTGGAATACTGATACATGATAAGGCAGACATGGTTAGTGCCTTGTGGGAGAGCGTGTACAGTTTGGAGGAACAGATGTATCACCACAGTCTGGTGAGATTGAAGCAGCGGGGAGTGACCAGAGGTTCTGGCAGATGCTCGAGGCTCAGAGGAAAGGCAAGACGGACATTTAATCAGAATGCTACTGGCACCATTAGTATCGGAACTCTGCGCTGGCTGCTGAAGATGGGGTCGGAGCGCTTATGGGAATGCCCCGAGTGCTGTGATGTCGGTTCTTGAATCAAATCAAATCAAATCCTTCACATAGCTTACTCTTTAACATGGCCCGTATGTCTGGCATTTGTTTGGACTTTGCCTGTGTGTACTGTGCACTTGCTTAAGCTCATAGTTTTGCTGTGTGCTTTCAGATGATGGCATCAGTATACCTGAAAAATACACCTCCTACCTGGCACCATTAATGTCATCCAAACTCTACAATGAAGTGAGGGGGTCTAAACAGGAGAAAGGAAAATCTCCAGAGGTAATTGTTTTTCTGTGTTTCATCATCATCATCATCACCATCCCGTAACACTACATCTCGTTGGGTCACTAGTTTCTGTTGACTGTCTGATCAGCTCTCTCCCCATTTGGCAGTCAGTTGCGATGGACTTCATGGTTGCATGCCTGAGGCCTGTCAAATCAGTCAGGTTCTTTAACCAGGTCTTTCTTGGTCTGCCTCTTTCCCTCTACTGATCCCTGCATTACTGTTTTTGAGAGGTCGTTAGATCTCAGTACATGTCCATACCATTGCATTTTTCACTGTAGTTAAAAGAGGTTCATAGTTGCCAGTGTGCTGTATAATTATATTGCAAACCTCTTCGTTTGTAATGTGGTCTCTGTCTGATATGCCAAGAATTTTTCTGGAACATCACATTTCTTATGCTTGTATCTTTCTTTCAAGTTCAACTGTTAAGATCCACGTTTCACAGCCATATGTAAATGTAGTGCTAGTGCTCTGAGCAATCGAATCTTAGTTTTGCATGAAATGTTTTTGGATCTCCATAATGTTTGCTGTGTTTAATTTTAACAATTATCAGTTTTCAATAGTATGCTTACACTTGGATCCTGGCCCTTGCAACAGCATTTGTGCACTGGGCTGAAATGCTCTGTCTGTGATCTGTGGGGAAAAAGGTGGGGGGGGGGGGTGTCAGGGTCTTACAGAGATATACTGTGCAATGAAAGAGATCCACCACGACCAAACCTTAAAGTTTGTTGTGTTTGTAAACTTAGTTTGCTCATATTTCATGATGTAAACTTAGTTTGCTCATATTTCATGATGTAAACTTAGTTTGCTCATGTTTCGTGATGGGGAATTTGCAAAGAAAGCAGAAGAGTGTAGACCACACAAAATTGTAGATAAGGTCAGACAAGTTAGTTTCTTCTACCTTTTCATCGTCATCTCCACCACTTTTATCCTTCTTGTTCTTCTTCTTCTTCTTCGTGTTAACCGCTTGTAAACTCCTACAGAATGTTCTGGTTGTTTGTGCACCTCTGGACTTTAGTCTTGTTCCATAATCTGAGTGTTGCATGCACTTCCATTTTACAGATCTGGCTTATTTGTATTGCACTCTTGATTCCCTGCCTTTCAGGCCTGGAAGGATGCCCCCAGTTAGTTGACTGCTACAACCTGCTTGTTGGGGTGGCAGAGGGTCTGTTCTTGTTTTCCCCACATTGAGACCCCGGAAACCCCCACAGGGATTTTCCTTAACTAAAGCTGTGGGTTGTTTTTTTCCACAGATAACTTTAAAAGTCAAATGTTGACCATTTATTTATTGCCTCTGTATTAAAAGTTAGTTTAATCGAGGTTCCAACTTGTGCTGCAGATGGGTGGCCCCCATAGCTGTTCTCTCACTGTGCCAGTGGGAATCACACAAAATATGTTCATTGTCCATTTTGAATTAGTGAGAAACCTATCAGACTTAGCAGAATCTTGAAGCTTGCATATAGAAAGTAAATGCATAAGACAGCTGTCAGATGTGCCAACACTAATACAGTCCCACACCAGAATTGCAGCTCACTGTTGATGCAAGTGTAAGTTGCTAAAGCCAGCATTACAAGTGACATACACATGCCTGTGTCCATAAATGTGTCCACTATTGCTGCTTTGTTTATATTTAACAACTGTATCTGCAGGCTGTGTTTGAGATGCCGTATGTTGTCCGCCTGCACAATATTGCCACACTTGCTGAACCGCAGCCAGTCTTCACATTTGTTCACCCAAACAGAGGTACCTCATTGACTTGTTTCTTTCATTTGACTCCAGAATCATCTTGTTTCCTGCAGGTTATGTTTTATCATTTTATACCTTCTTCTTCTTCTTCTGTGTTCATCTTCAAAAGGTTGCATTTTGATTTACAGATAAACTAGTATATGCACTGTTTGTATCTGATTTCTGCAAAGATTAAGTTAGTTGCCTCGAACGACCTGCTTGAGAGCCGTGGGTTTATTCCGTAGCGAGGCACTCTCTCTCTCTAAGTGGGCAACCATTATATTGTCTGTTTTTTCTTTAATGTACTTTAGTATTGAGAAACATCTAATGTGGGAAAATACTAGGATAATGAAACTCCACTAAATGCAAGATCTATGAAGATAAAGATAAACTAAATTAAATGGTCAAGTGCATGTCGGGCTCATTGTTAGGTAGAAAGAAACACTATAACAGTTGCAAGAGCACATTGAGGCAGTAATCGCCCTGGGCAGGTATTGCAGAGAATGAAACCAAGTAGCTGTTGTTGCTGAAATAAGAGCCCTCATCCATAAGCAGACTTGACCAGCTGTTATCATCTATACCAGTGATTCCCAAACTGTGCGCCCTGGGGAGCTGCGATCTCTTTACAGGGGTGCCGCAAAATATTGTAAAAGCCTCATAATTTATTTAACCAAGGCACAAATAGTCATACTTTTGTACTTTTACTTAGGTTAGGGCGCCGGATGGGGGGGGGGGGGGGGGGGGGGGGGGGCAAGAGAAGTTTGGGAAACACTGGTCTATACATTTGGCTCAGTGATTTGTGGGTTGCAGTCTGGGTGAGCCTACACGGGGCAGGTGAATGGGAGCACAGTTACAGAAGAAAGTCGGGCTTTCAGTTCGACTTTTTTTCTAGCATGACCATGGAGATATCAGCTGTCACAAGAGTACTTGGTTTGTGAAACAGAAAGCAACTCACGCATTTAGAGTCACAGACTTCTTGATATTGGTTAAGAAGACCCAAGCTGGCAAACTGCAACTAGAATTGGTTGACATCGTCCAAAAGTCTTGCCTCTTGGCTGTACACACTGGGATATGTGGGGGTGAAAGGAAATGAAAGAGTTTACCGATTGGCTATATCTGCAATGATTGCTGAAGGAAATAGTATGAACAGGGCAGGCATTGAATGTGCTGCATTCTAAAAACTTGAGATGAATCGCCTGTTGGAAAAAGGTATTTAACAAGGACAAGCAGGTAGAAACGATTGCGGGGCAAGGAAAGAAAATACACCTGGCAACTCCTACTGTTTAGGGTGAGCGTGGAGACGTTGACACTGCTGCTGTATCGAATAACTGAGCACGAAAGGTTCAGACCAACAAACTAGAATGTTGATAACGGTAACTGGTGAATGGCTGTTTCATATCATAATGAAAGGTATGTTAGGGGCATTGAATCGGTTTCATTGTTTTCAGTGGAAAGTATGGTAAACAAGTTTAAATTTATTAATTGGCAGGCGTAGAAATAAGTAAATAAACACTAAATGTAACACAGTAGAACTAACTAGTCAGATCTCTTTCTTAATCGTTTGTTTTATTCTAGACACAACGCTATGATCCAATATGTTTGTAATCGTTGTTTTGTTTGTTTTTCGACCTAGGCTTGGTTAGTATACATTTCTGTAAACTATGATGCCATTTAAATGGTTTGAGATGAATTCTGTATTCCGTAGTTGTGGATTTCAGTTTGTACGATAGATAGATATGGCTAACGAAGACACCTTTTTTTAAGGGGAGGGGGGGTGCCTAGTTGATTGTGTTTTACACTTGTTTCCATTTTTGTGTTGTCTAGTTTGTCCTGCTTCTTTATGTGAGTGCCGATCAATACTTGGTCTGTTTGTTTATATTTTATAAACACACACATAAAAATATAAATGGGAGAACAAACTAGAGCACATACAAATCTCAAGCTATAGTTACTACACCAGAACTCGAATCTTTCACCTCTGAATGATGATGCTTTGCTCTGTGAACAAGTGTGATTCGACTCATGACTTGACACCAAACAGCACATAGAGGTTATGTGGCCAGATTTCCCAGAAAATATGTTGCCATTTTTCATCAGACAAAGTGTTTGTCTACATCATATCGTTGTCATGTGAAGATGTTTGTTCCCTTTTGAAGATGTTTGTTCCTTTGTGAAGATGTTTGTTGCCATGTGAAGATGTTTGTTCCCTTGTGAAGATGTTTGTTGCCATGTGAAGATGTTTGTTCCCTTGTGAAGATGTTTGTTGCCATGTGAAGATGTTTGTTCCCTTGTGAAGATGTTTGTTGCCATGTGAAGATGTTTGTTCCCCTGTGAAGATGCTTGTTTGACACTGGCTCTTGTCCTTGTAGATGAAGTGATAGATAATGGGCGGTTCAAGTCTCTGGAGTTTGCTATCTCTGAGGACTGTGTTATTCATGGCTTTGCTGGATATTTTGACACAGTTCTTTATAAGGATGTGCTTCTGAGTAAGTATTTTTTTAATTTTTTATTATTGTACGCATTAATTATGAGTCACCGTGGCCGAAGGGGCTAGATCTGCGGATCGGAAGGTCGGGGGTTCGCTCCCTGGCGGAGCCAGACTTTTTTCAAAAATGACTTTGGCTCCCAGGTTGACCCAGCCTTGAGTGGGTACCTAGTGCAGTCCCGGGTATTAAAGGCAACCACATCACCCATCTTGTGCCGATTGGTCTATAAAAATATAGATCTAGCCCTGTATGCCCTATACGCTTAAAGGCGTGGAAAAGGGTCCTTTACTTTACTTTATTGATAAGGAATAATGACAATATTTTGGACAGAAAAGAAAACATGCTGAGGTATTGCTAGATGCTGGCTGTGCTAGCTCACTGATCAGAACTTTGAGGTAACGTCGGATATATGGAGCATATCAGCAGAAATCTTGTGAAGGAGAGGCAGAGAAAAGTCTGGAAATTTTTTAACTCTGCGTAAGAAGTAAAGTAAGCAGTTATGAGTCAGAAACCGACATCATGGCACTGGGGATATTTCCAGAAGTGCTCCATCCCCATCTTCAGTAGCGAGAGCAGAGTTCCAATTTCAGTGGTACCAGTGTCGGTGTGTCTGATTCACCCTTGAGTGTTGAGTGTCAGCCACATGCCATGGTTGCTGCTAGCTTGAAAATCAGCTGTACACACATGCCGTGATTGTAACTGATTCACTGAGCATGTTGATAAAAGTGGAGACAGGCATGCTTTGTGGAGAGTGGCAAGCATCGTTTTAGAGGTCCCGGCTAGTTAGCTTCCTTTGGATATTTTCTCCAGATGCCACCGGTGTGTTGGGAAATTAGCAGAGGGATAGACTGGCAGGCTCTGCATCACTTGGTGGTGAACTGATGTATGACAAGTGAGATATTGTGAGGGCCCTTTAGGAGCGAGTGAATAGTGCGGTGGCACAGATGGATCATTACGGCCTGAGGAGAAGGTTGCTGCAAGGAGTTACTAGGGGATCTGGCAGACGCTCAACTCTCAAGAAAGAAGCAAGACGGATATACTTTCAGACAGTTACTGGTGCAGCTCTTCATTTGCTGCTGAATATAGGAGTGGAGCGCTTGTAGGGGTGTCCTGAGAACTGTGATGTTGATTCTTAATTCAACGTTTAGCTACAAAAGTAAGCAACACAAACTTAATTAAAATGACACAAAGAATTGCAAGTCACAAATCAAGCATCTTTATCAGACGAGGCTCCCAGAAAAGAAGAAAAATGGGGTGAAGGAAATAGAAGAAGCACTTTCCCAGATACGACATATGTTGGTGTTTGCTAAAAATGCCACAGCTTCATACATATTTAACATAAACTCGTAATTTTTTATGTTTTTGCACCAGTTTAAATGGAAAGTAAATTTCAAGAATAAAAACTACATAATCATGTTTGACATCATCATCATCAGGTGGAATAACACACCAACTAATTGTTAGTTGAACTTCCAGCATCACTGCAGCTGGGTTGCCCATAACTGTTCCGTTCCTGTGCCAGTGGAAATTGCATAAAATGTCCTTCACTGTCCCATTTGAAAACCAGTGGAAAACTTGTCATTACCAGCAACATCTGGAATGTGGCACACGCAAAGTCAACATGCATAAGGCAGCTGTCAGGTGTGCCAACACTAACGGTCACACACCAGAAATGCAGCCCACTGTTGGCCAAAATGATAAATCATGAAAGCCAGCATTGCACTCGCTTGGTGATGGTTCCTCTCTACGCCCATTTCAGAAACTAAGAATTTGCATAAGAAAAACCTAGCTGAAAACTAATGATGTGCATCAGCGGTTAGCTATCAACTATTTTGACCAGAAGTCACAAACCTGTTGAGCAGCAATGTAAGCAAAGAGTAACAGTTAAATTCCCCCGGGAAGATTGGGTTATCACTTGCTTCCTTTACTCCCGTATTTGTCCTTTTCTTAAGAAATGTTAGACCTAATTGTGCTGGTAGACCGTACTTTGATGATCCGACATGGATCATTGAACATCACACACAATGCGCCTCCTCACTGGTAAACCTGTGAACAAACAATTAGTCCCCGGCAAAACCAGAAACACGCACGTGCGACTGAACTAAGCTCCATGTTAGTGGATAAATGGTCTAACAGTAAAACCAGTCAAGGCTCCATTCTCACATAAGGAATTGAAATATCTTTTAATGGTCTCTGTTCCATTTACAGATATTTACATCAGGCATTTATACTTATGTATAAATCTGGGTTACAAATATATCCTTGATCCACAGGCATTGTACCAGAGACACACTCACCAGGCATGTTCAGCTGGTTCCCTATATTCTTCCCAATCAAGGTGAATATGTAATATAGTTGTTGGACAGTTAATGTTTGTTTCACGTTTGTGATTTAGTTTTCAGACAGTGAGTGTTTATTATTTTCTGTTATAGGCTATAGTAAGCAGATAGTCGCTGTTTCTCTTTCTATTGAATGTGCTGTAGTTAGCAGATAGTCGCTGTTTCTCTTTCTATTAAATGTGCTGTAGTTAGCAGATAGTCGCTGTTTCTCTTTCTATTGAATGTGCTGTAGTTAGCAGATAGTCGCTGTTTCTCTTTCTATTGAATGTGCTGTAGTTAGCAGATAGTCGCTGTTTCTCTTTCTATTGAATGTGCTGTAGTTAGCAGATAGTCACTGTTTCTCTTTCTATTGAATGTGCTGTAGTTAGCAGATAGTCGCTGTTTCTCTTTCTATTGAATGTGCTGTAGTTAGCAGATAGTCGCTGTTTCTCTTTCTATTGAATGTGCTGTAGTTAGCAGATAGTCGCTGTTTCTCTTTCTATTGAATGTGCTGTAGTTAGCAGATAGTAGCTGTTTCTCTTTCTATTGAATGTGCTGTAGTTAGCAGATAGTCGCTGTTTCTCTTTCTATTGAATGTGCTGTAGTTAGCAGATAGTCGCTGTTTCTCTTTCTATTGAATGTGCTGTAGTTAGCAGATAGTCGCTGTTTCTCTTTCTATTGAATGTGCTGTAGTTAGCAGATAGTCGCTGTTTCTCTTTCTATTGAATGCGCTGTAGTTAGCAGATAGTCGCTGTTTCTCTTTCTATTGAATGTGCTGTAGTTAGCAGATAGTCGCTGTTTCTCTTTCTATTGAATGTGCTGTAGTTAGCAGATAGTCGCTGTTTCTCTTTCTATTGAATGTGCTGTAGTTAGCAGATAGTCGCTGTTTCTCTTTCTATTGAATGTGCTGTAGTTAGCAAATAGTCGCTGTTTCTCTTTCTATTGAATGTGCTGTAGTTAGCAGATAGTCGCTGTTTCTCTTTCTGTTAAATGCGCTGTAGTTAGCAGATAGTCGCTGTTTCTCTTTCTGTTGAATGCGCTGTAGTTAGCAGATAGTCGCTGTTTCTCTTTCTATTGAATGTGCTGTAGTTAGCAGATAGTCTTCTTCTTTTTGTTCTTCTTCTCTTCCTCTTATCCTGCTTCTGGATACGGGGGAGATATAAAGTCCTGCTTCTGGCTGTTCTAGCGGCCTTGACCATAGACCATTGTACTGTTGTAGAGTCTCACTGAATTTATCTTTCCATATTGTTCTTGGTCTGCCTGGTGCTCTGTGTCCTTATCTTCTTTTGATGTATGGTATGGCATCACAAGGCATTCTCAAGTGGGCAAACCATGTCTTCTTCTTCGTGTTTGTTGGATGTAAACTCCAGCAGAAAGTTCTAGTTGTTTTCCACTTCTGGACTCTAGTCCTATTCCCAGAACCTGAGTGTTGTGTATACATCCGTTTTACAGTTTTGACTCATTTGTATGCAGACTGGAAGCTCAGGCAGATGCACTCTGACTTTGAAGGAAGCTTCCAATTAGTCAACTCTTACAGCATGCTTTTGGGTCGGCAGTGGGTCTGTTCTTGTTTTCCCCATAATGAGGCCCCAGAACCCACACGGGAAGGGCAAACTATTTGATTTGCTACCTTTGTATTTAATTTGGTTCCATGCCAACTTGTTCACTTATGACCCATTTCTGATTTTGTCTCTTTCTGATCCTGCAGCCCTTCCCACACATTTCATTTCTATGTTTACTAATTGTCTTTTTATGGTTTGTAAATTGTTGTGAGTGACCAGGTCTGGTACTGGTAGGAATAAATTTGCTTTGTGCCAGATGTTTCTTTGTGTTGATTGGGATCCTATTAACATGTAAGAGGGGTGTAGGTGGGAAAAGGGGGGGGGGGGGGTGTCGAGCTAGCTGTCCCAGTACTACTAGCAAATAGTCAGTGTTGTTTTTCTTTCTGTTTTGTGCCATGGCTAGGGGGTAATCAGTGTTCTTGCTGTTACAGGATTTAGTCAACTGACAGTAAATATTTGTCTTTTTGTTTTGTTATCTGGTTAGTTTATTACTTTCTGTTGTAGGGTTTTGACTGAAATATCTTATTCAAACAATTGTGGAGTATATAATATTATAAAGTAAAAAAAGTATAGGACCCTTTCCCACACCTTTAAGGCGTATTGAGTATATAGGACTAGACCTATATTTTATAGATCAAATGGCACTTGGTGGGTTATGGGTCAGCATCACACCGGCCGTTTCTTTACTTCCCAGGACTGCACCTGGTACCCACTCTAGGCTGGGAGCCAAGGTAATTTTTTGAAGAAAGTCCGACCCCAGTCAGGAACCAAACCCACGACCTTCCGATCTGCAGGCAAGAGTCTAGCTATTAGACCACAGCAGCTCCCAAATAATATTATATCTCTCCTTGTTGTTGAAATTGTTTACATTTTTCCCCCCACAGATTCCAATCAACCTGCACAGAAATTCCAATGTGTCTGTGTACATCTGGCGCAGGGTCACAAACAAAAACGTGTGGTACGAGTGGGCGATTCATGGTGGCGGACAGATCACTCCTATTCACAACCCTAAAGGGAGATCATACACAATAGGACTTTGATGAGCCGTGACAGTATCCCACCAGACCATGATATTGGATGATGTCATTTTGTTGTACCAGTTTCTTCTGTACTAACCAAGCACTGATCAAAAATTCATTTAGAAATAACATACACATAATATCTGATAGCTCTAAGTTGCAGATTTGAATAAGTTTTTTGCTTATTCTTTACAGGATGTCACAAATGAAATCTACATTTGTTGCCTGTTTTTTTTTTTTCACTAAGAGTTACAAAGTCATCCCCTTGTGGGATGACATTTTTTTATTTTAAACCCTTACCTCGGCTTGTGCCAGGGGGCCTAAATATAGCCGGGCCATAAATATGGCTGAATGGGGTTTCCAGGGCTTCTCCACTGGTGATCCTGATCCACATGGTGGCACTTTGTGTCACCGGTTGTTTATCACTTGTGTGATGTCCTGGTGGGGTTCAACTTACTTTCTTAATTACTTTACTAAGGAATTTTACAATTACTGGTTTGCAGTTAGTTGCTGATCCTAGCTAAACCAATATTGTCAGTCACAGATATTCAACTAGGTTTTACTCAGGGGCCTAATTTTGTTAATAGGTATCATCAGAAAAACAGTTTTCCATGATGCAGAATCAAATGTGAATACAGTCTGCAATGATGTGGAATCAAATGCGAATACAGTCCGCCATGATGCAAAATCAAATGTGAATACAGTCTGCCATAATGTGGAATCAAATGCGAATACAGTCCGCCATGATGCGGAATCAAATGCGAATACAGTCCGCCATGATGCGGAATCAAATGCGAATACAGTCTGCCAAATGTGGATTTAAATGGAAAAAACTGTTTGCCATGATGCAGAATCAAATGGGAAAAACAGTCCGCCACAATGCGGAATCGAATGCTAATAGTCTGCCATATGCGGAATCAAATGGGAAAAACTGTTTGCCATGACACGGAATGGAAAAGAAGAAAACATTCTGCTCTAATGCCAAAATGAAGCTCAAGGCTTGAGTTTGGGCAAGCAAGTTCTAGCCGGTACACAGCCATAGATTCCCAGTAATATACCAAAATCCTTTATCTACTTGAGACAACAGGGTAACATCATTGTAATACTGGATGTAGATGTGGTGGACCCAGTTATAAGCATTTGGTAACCTATGTGGAATGAGATGCTAAACTTTTTCAGTCCTAGAGGATGTTGCTTTGTTAATATCCTACCCCATTCAGGGGAAATTCACAGGTCACGGGACAGTCTAATATTTCAGGGGGGTGGTAGATAGGCTGCATGCATTCATGGGACCTAGACTGCACACTCTCGTGGGGCATAGGTGGGTTGGGGTTATGGTCAGTTCTAGATGTTTTGGGATTGTTAAAAGCATCAGAAAGCCGGGAAACCGAGTCTTACTAACCTCTAAATGTTGGACTGTCCTGTGACCTTATCTAACTGACTGACTTTCTACCCCACCAGGACATCACACAAGCGATAAACACCCGATGACACAAAGTGCCACCATGCGGATAAGGATCGCCGTGGAGAGGTCCCAGAAACCGCGTTCAGACATTTGGCCATATGTATGGCCTGCCTATATTGCGGCCCCTGGCAAAAGCCAGAGTAGGGCTTCAAATGACAAAAAATTTCGTCCTAAAAAGGACGAAATTGGATATTATATATAATTAACCTTGTCTAGGGTAAGATATTAATAAAAAAAAAAACAGAGGACAGTTAAATTAGTTATAAATCAATGCATGATGCTTTCCTTGGTATCCAGTAAGTTAATGTGACAACAGAGAGAAGTGATGTTATCAGACGTCGTGCCAGCCACCTTTACTTCCTAGGGCTTTACTATGTACCCATTGAAGATTGGGCTGGTCTGAGGTCATATTTTAAATGAAAAAAAGTTTGTTGAATTTGAACCCAGGTGCCTCCCAGGAAATTGAGGTTCAGGGAGATAGAAAAATTACCTTTATTTGATAAGATTGGAAGAGTGAAGAAAACTGGCTCCTAAACAGCATCTTGCCTGAGAGACTGAAACACAGGCCATATTACATGCAATAGTAGTTGAGACAGAACAGAAACGGAATAGCCTAGTATTTGTGAAGCCTGACTACCTCACCGAGTCATAACTGTATCTTGCTGGATTGCTTTTACTTATATGTAGTTGATATTAGAGTGAAGTTGTGTTTAATTACTTTATTGTATTACATTACAATGGCTTAATTTTATTGTTACACTTACTTACTTCAATAATTACATTACAGTTAGCACAGTATGTGATCATCCATATGTTTGTGCATAAAGAATAGACTTGTTAAATAAAACATATGTCCTCGCATGTTGTCATTCTTGGTGATAGAGGGTAAGAGATATAAGAGGAAAGTATTGTCAAAGAATAGATATAGTTGGGAGAGAATCTGTGTCACCCAGGGCAAATTCTGCCATAGGTGTTCAATACCTGTATGTTTATAGACCAGCCAACACTCGATCATCCCAGCCTCTTTTACTTCCCATTTCCAGGTACTGTATTTTTCTTCTTCAAATTGTTTGTTAAATGAATGGCTCTGCTTGGGTTTGAACCCACCAGTGTTGCTGGGTTTAGGACACACAATTAAATGGCATTTTGTGGAATTTAGTTTTCTTCCTGCGGCTTCTGTGGCTTAGGTGTTGCGAGCCCGACTCGCAATTCCAACGTACCGTGATCAAAACCCACTGCTGGCTGCGTGGATTTTTATCATAGTATGGGGTGTCGCAGGTCGACCCAGCCTAAAATGCGTACCATGATGGCTGTCCTGGGGAAGTAAAGACGGCCGGCGTAATGCTGACACGTTACCCATCCAGTGCCGATTGGTCTGTAAAAACATGGGACGCTCTGCCCATCTACCCGATGGGCCTTAGGCGTAATAAGGGATCTTTTTTTTTTTTTTATTTAAGCTTTCTTCCACGTGGTAAAGTCTTGCCATAAAAACAATTAACTATATAAACTTATGGCCTCTTTTAAAAATAAGCACACACAAAACAAGCTCTTTGAACTTGTCTGTGAAGATGAGAGAAGCCACCATAAGTTGCTCTTCCTACACACTGAAGCAAGGTGGTTGTCTAGGGAGAAAGCAATGACCTGTCTGATGGAACTGTGTGCAGAGGTAGCAGCATTCAGTGGACCCCAAGGCTCTGGTAGCGATGGTTTTAAATAATGAAGACTGGGCATTTTTTGCAGACATTTTTAGCAACAAAAATGAATCTCTCATTGCAATAAACGTTTCTAAAAACGGCCACAGTTTATACTGCGAACGCTAGTTTCTTCTTTTAAGAGACAAGCACAGAAAATGAAGATATCCATTCCCTGCTACAAAAAGCTTCTTAGATCAAAATCAAAAATAATGGACATTGTGCAGTCATTTAGATATCTCTTTACTCTACATTCCCCTAGTATCTAACACCTGTTTCCCCTGGCCATAACAGTGACGTCTACACACAGTTAACTTGTTAGACATTGGGTACAGCAGGCAAAGTAGCTCGGCAAAAAAAAAATGATTTTAAAAAGGGCTCAGGTAAACAAAGGTTGGGAACCACTGTTGTAAGACATGCTCTGGTGCACTGCAAACTCGTGGCAGAATCAGCGAGACACATTCACTGTATAGGGTTTTCTGAGTTTACAGTTTCCCGTTCATGCCTTCCCCCTCGAGTGCTGGAGGTCCCGGGTTCAAGCCCCGGTGAAGGCTGGTTTTTTTCACGTGAACTTCTAGTAATTTCCCCTAGGTCTCGTAAATTTGGGGTTAAAAATCTACCCAACGTATTTCATGATCCTAACTAGTGCTACAGAGTTTGTGCACTGCGCTGAGAACCTTCGAACTCGGGCTTTAGTCAGAAGTAGAACGGAGCACTTATAGGTTAATAGACTTGTGCCGTGATGTTGATTCCTCGTCTTAACCTAAACCTAAACGTTATGGGTCTTAAAATGATGTTTCACACTCAAGCAGGAGGCGCAATGAGACCAAACTTATGTTTTTTGACTTTAACACTGTATGATTCTGAGCAGGACAATTCATCCTCGCCTCATGTCTTCACCAGGAAGCGGTGGTATGTAGACAGCCAGAACAGCAGCTGCAGTTTACACACAAAAAACTCACACACATTAGGAAGGACCGTCAGCTGGATCCTTATGGCCCAAATTCCCATGCCCACACAGCATACTGTTATATTATCACAATCGACGTCTTTACATATTTGGCATTCCCATGTATGCTCAGTCCTTGATGCAGCAGCTACTCCAAGGTACCTCCACTCATTGTTTGCATGAGAATTTGGTTGTAGCATCTCCCGTCTTTATCTCAAAGACGGCATAGATCTTAACTCCTCAGTCACGTAATCGTGTTAGCGTCAGAGGTTTGACATTATCTCCTGACCTAGTTAGTTAGTACAGCGTTGATGACATCAGCTATGTCCACTGAACAAGAATTTTTTGTGCCATTATCAACCATCTGTGCACTTACGAGCATCCCTATACCTAGCGGATCTAAGGACTGGTCATCATCATTTTCACTTATGGCGGAGGAACAATCACATTACAAAAAGAACAGTTGTTAAGTCGACGTCAGGGAATATGACTTATACTTTTATTACACTTACAAGCATGACACAGAAATATCTACACGTAAGTACACAACCTGATGATCGTGGCACGACAATATCAAACAGAACATTTCACTGTAATTTTTGGTAGCCAGTTCTTTACTGGTAGCCCCAGTTTCTTCAGTTCAAATCCACACTGAGTCAGACTTTAGCTCCCTGGTCGACTTCGCCTAAAGTGGGTATCAGGTAATGTCATGGGAAGTAAAGGTGGCCGACATGATCACATCAACCACTAAGTGTCAGTTTGTCTATAAAATATAGGTCTAGTATCAAATTCCTGGTGTGCTACTGGCAGGGAATGGATACTTTACCTTCACAATTTTTGTTTAAGAAACATTACCTATGACTTGTATTAGTCATCATTCAAATCTTCAATCCACTTAGATTGTAGTCAACCTCTT